AGGTCGTACTGTTGAGCTGATGGACGCTGGAAGTCAGTAGGTGGATGCGGAGGTGTAGAATCGGATGCTGGAGACTGAAAGTCGGAGTGCTGAGCTGGTTTGAAGCAAGTGGAACAACGGATCAGCAAGTGAAACAACGGATCACGCGCCACTTTCGAAATGAGACTCTCGCCTCAGCGCCGCGAACATTCGTTCTCACATATTTGCATCATTTGAAAAGGTGGAGGGCTGGCCGTGTTTTCAAACGGGGCTCCCGCCCAAACGCCGCGCACACTCGTCTTGAACCTTTGCGTGTTAGCGGTCAAAATGGGTTCTCGCCTTAGCGCCACGCGCATTCACCTTAACAGATCGCAGCAATGCCAGCGATGGGCGGCGGCCCCGTTTCAAAATGACGCTGTCACTTGAGACTTCCCAAGATGTGAAGGCCCGAAGCTTCAACATTCGTAGCAATTGCACTGTTGCAGCAGTTACAAGAACGGACGACGCCACTAGCTTAACATGGAGCTCTCATCTGAGACTTCCTGACAGACCCAAACTCCAACTCATGTGGCAGTTGTACAGATGGAGGGCGGTTCTTCTTCCAAACTGGAGATCTAAACGTGTGCACCATTTACAAGGAGAGAGGGCACTCCTTGCTCAGAACGGAAACCACGCTGGACACCCCATGGAACTGCATGACAACACACCTTCTTGCACTCCTGAGTACGCGCTGGAAGGATGCAAGGCATTCTCTCGTCAAAGTGGGGTCCTTGACCGAATGGCAAGCTCATGGGACGCTCGCCTTTCAGCGTGGGGTGGCGCTTCTTATAGTGACAAGGATGGCCTGTAGTGACTTAGGAAGAGGGTACTTGGGACGATAGGGCGTATTTCAGCATCGCCGATGCATCTTGAATTACTCTGGATCCTCCTCCCCGCCACCACCCATCACTCATCAGAGTGTTCTGACCACGCAATGCTCCTTCAATCGTCTGTCCTCCGCCTTTTCCTCCCACCTCAACCTTCTGGCCCTCCCCCCTTCCTCATCATCACCATCATGACCACATGATTTGGGTGCTCTTGTCGTTTGAGGCTTCCGACGCCCCACGACGGCCCCATAGCCCCCCAAGATTGCTCCAGGACGCATCAAGACGTCCCAAGAGGCCTCCAAAAAGCCTGCAAGATGGCACAGAGAGGGCCCCAAGATTGCCCAAGAGGCCCCCGGGACGGGCCCAATACATCACCATAAACATCGAAAACGGCCCTGAAGCGTCTGACAACTGCCGCGAGAAGGCTCCAAGACGGCTTCCGAACCCAAGAGGCCCCTCCGAAGCTCTCAAGAGGCTTCAAGGAAGCCTCCAGGAGTCCCAAATAGGGCCTCAAGAGGCCTCTTATTCTTCTTCCTGCTCCTCCTCCTCCTCAGCAGCATCAGCAACATCATCAGCATCATCAGCATCAGCATCAGCATCAGCATCTGCATCAGCATCAGCATCAGCATCAGCATCAGCATCATCATCATCATCATCATCATCATCATCATCATCATCATCATCATCATCGTCATCATCATCAGCATCAGCATCAGCATCAGCATCAGCATCATCATCATCATCATCATCATCATCATCATCATCATCACCATCACCATCACCATCACCATCACCTTCACCATCACCATCACAATCACCATCACCATCACAATCATCCTCATCCTCATCCTCATCCTCATCCTCGCTCTCATCCTCATCCTCATCCTCATCCTCATCCTCATCAGCATCAGCATCAGCATTATCATCGTCATCATCATCATCACCATCATCATCATCATCATCATCATCATCATCATCATCATCATCATCATCATCATCGTCATCATCGTCGTCGTCATCATCCTCATCCTCATCCTCATCCTCCTCCTCATCCTCATCCTCATCCTCATACGCATCAGCATCAGCATCATCATCATCATCCTTATCCTCATCAGCATCAGCATTATCATCGTCATCATCATCATCAACATCATCGTCATCATCATCATCATTCTCATCCTCATCCTCATCCTCATCAGCATTATCATCATCATCATCATCATCATCATCATCATCATCATCATCATCATCATCGTCATCGTCATCATCATCATCGTCATCATCATCACCATCATCATCATCAACTTCACCATCATTATCATCATCAGCATCATCATTGCCATCATCATCATAATCATCGTCAGCATCATCATCAGCAGCAGCATCATCAGCAGCATCAGCAGCATCAGCTTTATCATCATCACAATCATCAGCATGATCATCAGTATTAACATCACCAACACCACCATCGTCATCATCAACAGCAACAGCAACAGCATCATCAACATCATCGGTATCATCAGCAACAGCGTCATGATCATCCTTGTCATCTTTTCATCATCATCCTTGTCATCATCATCATCATCATCATCATCATCATCATCATCATCATCATCATCATCATCGTATTATCATCATCACCATCACCATCACCATCACCATCACCATCACCATCACCATCACCATCACCATCATCATCATCATCATCATCATCATCATCATCATCATCATCATCATCTCATCATCGTCGTCGTCATCATCATAATCAGCATCCTCATCATCATCCTCCTCCTCCTCGTCCCTCTCCTCTTCCTGCCTCTCCTCCACCTCCTCCTCCTCCTCTTCCTCTTCCTCTCCCTTTGGCAACGAAAGCGCTTCCGAAAGACAGGGGGCGACGGTGGTTCAGTCGTCTTCGATGGCTAGCGAACTGCCATGTTTGCGTGTGCTCCAACAGGCGCGGCAACGAATTCCACGGCGATGTTGGACCCGCCGGACGTCGATTCCTGCAGGTGGCGGCGCTCACCACCGTCGCAAATCGGATGCCTGCGCCTTGCGTTTCCGGGCTGTCTGGCAGAGGCTGCAAGAGATGCCCACGACACATCTGCTGCATGGGGACGAGCTCGCAGCAGAAATGCCCCATCCGAATTCAGCGCCCATCTTATGGGGACACCACTAACGGGCACTCTGGCCAGTGACCCAGCGAACCCAATCCTCTCCGAGAGAGAGGCCCTAAAATGGCAAATTTCGGCAATCCTCCAAAAATACCCGTTGCGGTGCCGCGGACGAATGCACCCGACCCACATGCCGTGGCACCGGGGAACCGCGCCGAGGCAGCTGCGGGCTCCCCCCCTTGCAGCAGCGCGGCAGCACGGCCAAGCAAAAACGCGGCCGCGCAAAAACCGAATTCGCCGCAGATGGCCAGCCGGGCGCACAGCGCACGCCGTCCTCGCCCTCTCGGATCGGTGTCGGCGGCAAGACCGAGGCGGGGAAGCGAGAAGGAGGAGGCCTTCTCGGAAGGCTCGGAAGTCCCCCGGCCTTCTGCGAAGTTCTCTGAGCCTTCCCCAGAGAGACAACAAAATTAGCCTGGCGAAGGACCCAACCATATGCAGTTGTGAGTACCGTCGTTGTATGCACCGCATTCGGAGGAGCTCCGTATCCCGTGGGCGCATGCGAAATCAGCCACTGGGGCCGTCGGTGGAGCTCCCTATGGGGCCACGAAACCCGTGAGAGGTGTGCCGAAATAGGTGCGGTGGGCGCATGCGAACGCAGCCGCTGGCGCCGTCGGTGGGGCTCCCTATGGGGCCGCGAAACGTGTGATGGGTCTGCCGAAATGGGTGCGGTGGGCGCATGCGAACGCAGCCACTGGGGCCTTCGGTGGAGTTCCCTGTGGGGCCACGAAACGTGTGAGGGGTGTGCCGGAATGGGCGTGGGGGACGCATGCGGGCGGTACCACCAGGGCCTTCGTTGAAGCTCCCTATGGGGCCACGAATTGTGTGAGAGGTCCGCCGACATGGAAGTGGGTGACGCATGCGCGCGGTGGCACTCGCGCCTTCGGTGGAGCTCCCTATGGGGCCACGAGACGCGTGAGGGGTGTGCCGGAATGGGCGTTGGTGACGCATGCGCGCAGTGGCGCTGGGGCCTTCGTCGGAGCTCCTTATGGGGCCATGAGACGTGTGAGAGGTGTGCCAAATGGATGTGGGGGACACATGCGGGCGGTGGCACTGGGGCCTTCGGTGGAGTTCCCTATGGACCACGAAACGTGTGGTGCGTGTGCCGAAGTGGGTGTGGGGGACGCATGCGGGTGGTGGCACTGGGGCCTTCGGTGGAGCTCCCGATGAGGCCACGAAACGTGTGAGAGGTGTGCCGAAATGGGTGTGGGGGGCGCACGCGGGCGGTGGCACTCGCGCCTTCGGTGGAGCTCCCCATAGGGCCACGAGGTGTGCCGAAATGGATGTGGGGGACGCATGCGGGCGGTGGCACTGGGGCCTTCGGTGGAGCTCCCCATGGGGCCACGAGACGTGTGAGGGGTGTGCCGAAATGGGTGCAGGGCACGCATGCGGGCGGTGGCACTGGGGCCTTCGGTGGAGTTCCCTATGGGGCCACGAGACGTGTGAGGGGTGTGCCAAGTCGGGTGTGGGGGACGCATGCGCGCGGTGGCACTGGCGCCTTCGGTGGAGCTTCATATGGGGCCCCGAGACGTGTGAGGGTGTGCCACATTGGGTGTGGGGGACGCATGCGGGCGGTGGCTCTGGGGCCTTCGGTGGAGCTCCCTATGGACCACGAAACGTGTGGTGCGTGCCCCGAAATGGGTGTGGGGGACGCATGCGCGCGGTGGCACTGGGGCCTCGGTGGAGCTCCCTATGGGGCCACGAAACGCTGTACTGGCTGGGTGAAACGCAGGGAAGAGGAAGGAGGGGGAAGGAGGAGGAATGAGCAGGAACGCGGGGACCGTCTTTTCAAAACGGACCCAACACCACATGATGGTTGGGAAATTAGCCTGGCGAAGGACCCAACCATATGCAGCTGTGAGTACCGCAATAGTGAACATCTTCTTCGGCGCGGCGCCGCCATGCCAACGCAGCCACTGGGAGCTTCGGTGGAGCTCCCTATGGGGCCACGAAGCGTGTAAGGGGTGTGCCGAAATGGGTGCGGCGCCGCCATGCCAACGCAGCCACTGGGGCCTTCGGTGGAGCTCCCTATGGGGCCACGAAACGTGTGAGGGGTGTGCCGAAATGGGTGCGGCGCCGCCATGCCAACGCAGCCACTGGGGCCTTCGGTGGAGCTCCCTATGGGGCCACGAAACGTGTGAGGGGTGTGTGTGAGGGGTGGTGCCATGGGGCATGTGAGGGGTGTGCCGGCGGCGCGCCATGCGAACGCCAGGGGCCTTCGCTGGGCCACTGCCAAATTCGGTGCGAGCTCCCTATGGGGCCGAAACGTGTGAGCCACGGGTGCGGCGCCGCATGCGAACGGCCACGGTGGAGCTCCCTATGGGGCCACGAAGTGCGAGGGGTGTGCCAGGGGGCATGCGAACGCAGCCACTGGGGCCTTCGGTGGCTGGGGCTCCCGCATGCGATGGGGCCACTCCCTATGGGGCCACGAAACGTGTGAGGGGTGTGCCAGAATGGGGGGTGGAACCGCATGCGCAGCGAGCATCCACTGGGGCCTTGGAACCGCATGCGGGCGCAGCCACTGGGGCCTTCGGTGGAGCTCCCTATGGGGCCACGAAACGTGTGAGGGGTGTGCCAGAATGGGGGGTGGAACCGCATGCGGGCGCAGCCACTGGGGCCTTCGGTGGAGCTCCCTATGGGGCCACGAAACGTGTGAGGGGTGTGCCAGAATGGGGGGTGGAACCGCATGCGGGCGCAGCCACTGGGGCCTTCGGTGGAGCTCCCTATGGGGCCACGAAACGTGTGAGGGGTGTGCCAGAATGGGGGGTGGAACCGCATGCGGGCGCAGCCACTGGGGCCTTCGGTGGAGCTCCCTATGGGGCCACGAAGCGTGTGAGGGGTGTGCCAGAATGGGGGGTGGAACCGCATGCGGGCGCAGCCACTGGGGCCTTCGGTGGAGCTCCCTATGGGGCCACGAAACGTGTGAGGGGTGTGCCAGAATGGGGGGTGGAACCGCATGCGGGCGCAGCCACTGGGGCCTTCGGTGGAGCTCCCTATGGGGCCACGAAACGTGTGAGGGGTGTGCCAGAATGGGGGGTGGAACCGCATGCGAACGCAGCCCCTGGGGCCTTCGGTGGAGCTCCCTATGGGGCCACGAAACGTGTGAGGGGTGTGCCAGAATGGGGGGTGGAACCGCATGCGAGCGCAGCCACTGGGGCCTTCGGTGGAGCTCCTTATGGGGCCACGAAACGTGTGACGGGTGTGCCAGAATGGGTGTGGGAGGGGGAGGAGGGGGGAGGAGGGAGGGAGGAAGGAGGCGGGAACGCGGGGCACCGTCTCTTCAAAACGAGGACCCAACACCACAGGATGGTTGGGAAAAACCTCTCGGAAGGCGCGAGGGCTCCCGAGAGGTCCCACCGCCTTCGGAGAAGGCCTTCTCCTTCTCACTTCCCCGCTCGCTCGCCGCCGACGGTGGCTTCCCGACTCCCGGGCGAGCTTCACGCCACCCCGCCGGCTGCACACGCCCCGCGAGCTGCGGCGTCCTCCAGCGGGAGGCGCCGGAAGGCCCCGCCGCGCCCCGGCCCGAGGCGCAGCGCCGCCGACGCGGCCGCGATCAACACCGGCACGGCCGCGAGCGCGGGGAGGGCCTGCGCGAGCAGTGCCCCGCCGCCGGCCCGGGCGGCAGCGGGCGCGCGGCGGCGCGCGTCACTCTTCCGCATGATGCCGACCACGCTCGAGACGCTGGCCAGCTCCCCGCCCGCAGCGCCCTTGTCGGCCACGCGCAGGGGTGGCCCTGGGCAAGAGTGGCCATTGTGGTGCGCGGCCCTCGAGGGGGGCCGCGGGGGGGCCAGGCCCGAGCGCGCAGGACGCTGCCACACCGCAGCGTGCTCGGCGAGCGGGGGACCCCAAAGGGCCCGCACCAAAGGCCACTCCGGCGCAGGGTCACCCTCGCGTGCCGTCGACCTCGGGGCTCGGGGCACACTGGCTGTAGAAGTCGCCGTGCGCCACGCAGGCGGAGCCCCCGGCGCAGCAGGTCGGCCCGGTCCACCGCGCGCCGCCGCACTGCTGGTAGACCTGCGCGCAGGGGCCCGCCGCATCGCCGCTCCAGGGCCGCGCGGGCTGCGGCCGCGAGGCCTGCCGCGCGGCCTGCGGCTCCGCGGTCACTGCCGCCTGCGCCGGCGGCTGCTGCGGCTGCTGGGCCCGCGGCTGCTGGTGCGCGGGGCTGCCCGCGCCCACAGCCCGACCCGTCCAGGGGCTGCTCGCGCCCGCGCTCGGCTGCAGGACCGCGCCCGACAGCGGCTGCGGCTGCTGCGGCGGCAGCGGCTGCGGCTGCTGCGGCGGCAGCGGCTGCGGCCTCTGCCGCTGCAGGTCCGCGCCGCACGCGCCGAAGCCGGAGGCGCTGCTGGCCGCAGTGGCTGCCTCGGGGGGTTCGAGGTGGGCGTTGGCGGCCAGCTGCTTCACCTGGTAGTCGAACCAGGCGCCTGCCTCTGGCGCCCGCGGCTCGCCTGCCCGGCTGCCGATGGAGTCCGCGGAGCCGCACATGTCATCGAAGCGGGGGCACTGGGTGCCATCCGGCAACTGCTGGCTGCAGCCGTCGGATTCGCCCGGGGTCTTCAGCCAGTAATACGCGTCGATCAGGCTTGTGTTGGCGACGTCCGTTGTAGAGGGTATGCCGGCGCCAGCGTTGCGGGGGTTGCACCAGTTTTCGCAGTCCTGGCGCATGTCCACGACACCGTTTCTGCCAGTGTCAATGATGGCGTGAGCATCCATCTCAAGCAGGGCATTGGCCGCCATGATGAGGTCCTGCGCATAATTGAGCTCATTGTTCCCAGCGCTGTACTGGCCCAGCAACCTGCAAGGGTCTGCGCAGCAAGGATCCGACCTGTGCCTTCCGTTCAAGCAGTATGCGTTCCTCCAGCCTTGGTCAGGACAGAACGGGCATAAATGGCCCAAAGGCTGGTAGTTTGCCACGTTTGTCGCAAAACCGCGAATCTTCTTCATCGGGAAAGCTGCATCCTTGAGAAGTGCCATGAATTTTTCAAGATTGTCCTCCCAACCCAGCCAGCCACCATGTGCGGCATCCAAATACACCGAAACAGCCGGTACTTGTGTAGTCAACCGCTCCAAAGCGTATCCGATCCCCTCCGTGTACGCGGCAACCGTCGCGGGGTTGCCGCAATGTGGGTGGCCCAAGTTGGTGGCCAAGTTAGGCAAGCTGTCGGGCTCGAGGACCACCACGATAGGCAGCTTGGACTCGTACTCTTTCAGGACCTCGACGAAGGGATCCACGTACTCCACCTTGTACTCCTCGAGCCCCTCGGCGCAGTCCCCGGTCTTGTCGTAGTCGCACCTGCCGCCCTCGCCCTTGTAGCAACAAATCTCCCCGTTGGAAGCCTTGGCGTCGCAATCCCGGTTCGGGAGATTATCCGCCACCATGCTCCCCTGGCACGCGAGGGTGTGGCAGAATGCCAAATGCTGCCTCACGCCACACTTGCTTGCACGCACCATCCCATCCTTCCCCAGCGAAAAACGAAGGATCCGCGCTCTCGAAGTCACGATCCTTTGAATAAAGGAAAGGATCCGCGCTCCCAAACCCACGACCCCTCGTAAGAAAATAATGTGCCCTCGTTCCCGAGGCCACAATCCCTAGTAACAAGCAATGGGCATGCGCGCCCGGGCTTCCAAGACTGCCAAGGCAGACAACCAAGGCCGCCAAGATGGCCCAAGATGCCTCCTGGCTGGCCCAAGATGGCCGCAAGGCTTCTTCCCAACTGGACCACAAGACGGCCCAAGAGAGCCGCAAGAGATCACGACAGGACCCCCAGAGGGGCCCGACGAGACCAAAACCTCAGACCTTCCTGCAGTTATTGCGAGATTTGGGCGCCTTCACCTTGTCGGGCGTTCTTCAGCTCCAGACAGCCCCAGAGGCCTCCACGACGGCCCCGAGACGGCCCATCAGGGTCCCCGAATGGCCCAATGATCCCCCGAGACGGCCTCAAGAGGAGGAGGAAGACCACGAAGACGAAAAGAGAACCCACGACACCGTGCGGTAGAGTCTGTCACATGTTGCTGATTGTCCAGGCCTTGGGACACGAGGCGCCTCTCGTGACGGACGGCCTCTGGTACGCCGCCCGACCAGTCGCCACCCAAGGTGCTGGGCTGTCACGGTGGCGGGACTTGCCGCAGGCAGCTGGATACCAGATAATAACCACAAGCTCAGGTGGTGACCTGCTGGACGCGTCCCTGAGGATACCCTCCAGGCTGCGCGTGCCCGAACCGCGGATCTTGGCCTTGACGTCGATCCAGTAGGCGGAGGGCACCTTCTGCATCCTGAGCAGGCTCTCCTTTGTCGTTCCGGTCGCTGTCTCTATGGACCCCTGGAACTCCCGCGAGTTCGCCGGGTTCACGTAGAAGGCCTGGCCCTCGAACGGGTTCGCCCCCGCGGGAGCGGGCGCCGCCCAGAGGACGGCGGCGGCCAACGCAACGCCGGAGCACCGCGCCATGCGCAGTCAGCTCGGCTGGGAGCGCCTCCGACGAGGCAAGACGCGACACGCACCGAATCGGCACGGCAGGTGGGGCAAAACGACTGCGCGAGGAGGAGCGGCAGGGCCCGGAGCGCCGTCGGGGGCCCAATCAGGATGGTGCTGGTCATTCGGCGAGGCCCTCGTCCCCCCTCCGCGGGGGGGCCAGGAGGAGGTGGATGGAAGAGGATTCTACCTTTAGGTCGGGCATGGCCTCCTGCAGGCGGGTGTTGGACGAAACATGAAAAAATATCCCGGCGAAGGACCCAACCATATGAAGTTGTGGGTGCCGCAATTGTGAATTTGTGAATATCTTCTTCGGTGAAGCTCCCTATGGGGCCACGAAGCGCTGCGCTGGGCGGGGGGGAACGCATGCGGGCGGTAGCACTGGAGCCGTCGGTGAAGCTCTTTATGAGGCCACGAAGCGCTGCACTGGGTGGGTGAAACTGCCAAACTGGGCGTGGGGGGCGCATGCGGGCGGTCCCATTGGAGGCTTCGGTGGACCTTTCCATGGGGCCGCGAAGCGTTGTAACAGGTAGGTGAAAATGCCAAATTGGGTGTGCGTGTGGGTGAAAATGCCAAAATGGATCTGGGGGCCGCATGTGTGCGGTACCACTAAGGGTTTCCGTGGAGCTCCCTATGGGGTCACGAAGCGCTGTACTGGGTAGGTGGAAATGCCAAATTGGGCGTGGGGGACGCATGCGGGCGGTGGCACTGGGACCTTCGGTGGGGCTCCTTACGGCTTACGGGGCCACGAAGCGCTGTACTGGGCCGGTGAAAATGCCAAATTGGGTGTGGGGGACGTATGCGGGAGGCTTCAGTGGAGCTCTTTGCGGGGGACGCATGCGGGCGGTCCCACTGGGGGCTTCGGTGGAGCTCCCTATGGGGCCACGAAGCGCTGTACACGGTGGGTGAAAATGCCAAACTGGGTGGGCATGGTGGACGCACGCGGGCGGTCCCATCGGGGGTTTCGGTGGAGCTCCGTATGGGGTCACGGAGCGCTGTACTGAGTGGGTGACAGTGCCAAATCGCGTGCGGGGGACGCATGCGGGCGGTCCCACTGGGGGTTTCGGTGGGGTTCCATATGGGGTCACGAAGCGCTGTGCTGAGTGGGTGTCAATGCCAAATTGGGTGTGCGGGACGCATGCGGGCGGTCCCACTGGGGGCTTCGGTGGAGCTCCTTACGGGGCCACGAAGCGCTGTACTGGGCGAGTGAAAATGCCAAATTGGATGTGGGGGACGCATGTGGGCTGTACCACTGGGGGTTTCGGTGGCGTTCCCTATGGGGTCACGAAGCGTTGTACACGGTGGGTGAAAATGCCAAATTGGGCGTGGGGGGCGCATGCGGGCGGTCCCACTGGGGGCTTCGGTGGAGCTCCCATATGGGGCCACGAAGCGCTGTACTGGGTGGGTGATACTGCCAAATCGACCGTGGGGGACGCAGGCGGGCGGTCCCACTGGGGGCTGCGGTGGAGCTCCCCATGGGGCCGCGAATCGCTGTGCTGGGTGGGTGAAACTGCCAAATTGGGCGTGGGGGACGCACGCGGGCGGTCCCAGTGGGGGCTTCGGTGGAGCTCCCTATGGGGCGACGAAGCGCTGTACTGGGTGGGTGGAAATGCCAAAATGGATGTGGGGGCCGCATGTGCGCGGTACCGCTAAGGGTTTCCGTGGAGCTCCCTATGGGGCCACGACGCGCTATACTGGGTGGGTGAAAATGCCAAAGTGGGCGTGGGGGACGCATGAGGGCGGTCCCACTGGGGGCTTCGGTGGAGGTCCCTACGGGGCCACGAAACGCTGTACTGGGCCGGTGAAAATGCCAAATTGGGCGTGGGGGACGCAGGCGGGCGGTCCCACTGGGAGCTTCGGCGGGGTTCCCTATGGGGCCACGAAACGCGTGAGGGATGCGCCGACATGGGCGCGGGGGACGCATGCGGGCGGCGGAGAGGGGGAGGGGGAGGGGGAGGGGGAGGAGGAGGAGGAGGATGAGGAGGAGGAGGAGGAGGAGGAGGAGGAGGAAGAGGAGGAGGAGGATAGGAGGAAAGGAACGCGGGGACCGTGTCTTCAAAACGAGGACCCAACACCACAGGACGGTTGGGAATTATCCTGGCGAACGACCCAACCATATGCAGTTGTGAGTACCGCAGTTGTGAGTATCTTCTTCGGTGGCGCCCACGAACCGCACGAGGGGCGTGCCGAAATGTGGCGGGGTACACGACGCGAAAGAAAACGATTGGTCTAATTACGAGAGACTGGGCGCGGGTGGATCTGAGCGCGAGTGAGTCTAAATGTGAATGAGTCTGCGTGCGAGCGAATGTATGTATATATATATATATACATACATACGTACATACATACATACATACATGCATGCGTACATACATACATACATACATACATACATACCTATATGTATATACTATGCACGAATGCGATCCTGGCTACGCCTCGTGCGACTGCATATGAATGGGAACGGTTCGGCTACGCCTGTCTGCGCACTCGCGACACTGAGCGTGGCCGCCGCAAAATGCGTCCGCGGGGACCCCGGCGGCAGCGCCCGCGCGCCGCGACGCCGATGTCGGCGCGCCCCTCGCGAGGATCGCGGCCGCTTCCTTCCCTTTCTCTCCCCCCTGTGCCCGCGCGCTCCAAAGTCCCAAGCTGCGGGCGCAGCGCGGCGCGGAGCCCCTGCGACGCGCGCCGGTCGCCCCGGAAGGGCCCCAGCGACGCGAGCGGGTCGTCCGCTGCGCGGAGCAAAGAGAGCTAGCTAGCTAGCTGGCTGGCTGATAGCGGGCAACGCTCTGACCGCTGGGCAGAGCGACGGGCGAGCGAGGCGCGGGGAAGAACGCAGCGCGGAGTTCCCGCGACGCGCGCCGGTCGTCCCAGGATGGCCCCAGCGACGCGCGCGGGTCGTCCGCGGCGCGGGACCAAGCAATGAGTTGGGCAGTCGAGAGAAGGCGCGGCTCGGGGGGGGCGCTCCTCAGGCCAGGCCTCGCAGATAAACTCGGTGAAGCCGAGCTCCCTGGCGAGGGCCGTCGCCTCCCTCCTGCGCCGCTTCGTGCGCGCCGCAAACTGCTCCAGCTGCTTCCGCAAGCCCTCCGGCGGCCCTGCCAGGAAGAACTCGATGCGCGGCGCCCGCATGAGCAGGAGGTCCTCGTGGCGCGTGGCGCGCGAGAGCAGCTGATAGAGCTCCAGCCACCAGTCGTCGTCCTCCTTCTTGCCGTTCCCGACCTCGCGGCGGCCGCAATCCAGGATCACGCCTGGCCGACGTCGGCCGAGGGGACAGCGCGCCGGACAGCCGACGGCCCAGGGCGAGAGTCCACAAGACCGAGAAATGGTCCGGCTGCAGACCGCTCGCGCCCAGTGGGTTCGGCTGTAGGGTGTGCCGAAACGTGTGATGGGTGTGCCGGAATGGGTGTGGGGGACGCATGCGGGCGGTGGCACTGGGACCTGCGGTGGAGCTCCCTATGGGGCCACGAAACGTGTGAGGGGTGTGCCGAAATGGGCGTGGGGGACGCATGCGGGCGGTGGCACTGGGGCCTTCGATGGAGCTCCCTATGGAGCCACGAAACGTGTTAGAGGTGTGCCGAAATGAATGTGGGGGACGCATGTGGGCGGTGGCACTGGGGCCTGCGGTGGAGCTCCCTGTGAGGCCACGAAACGTGTGAGGGGTGTGCCGAAATGGGCGTGGGGGACGCATGCGGGCGGTGACTTTGGGGCCTTCGGTGGAGCTCCCTATGGGGCCACGAAACGTGTGAGGGATGTGCCCACGTGTGTGCGTGTGTTGTGTGTGTGTGTTGTGTGTGTCTTGTGTGTGTTGTGTGTGTTGTGTGTTTTGTGTGTGTGTGTGTTCTGTGTGTGTGTTCTGTGTGTGTGTGTTTTGTGTGTGTGTGTTTTGTGTGTTTTGTGTGTGTGTGTTGTGCTTTG